TGCCTACCTTCATTGGGCCCATGCTCCCAATTAGACGGAAAACTGTGACTGTTACCAACAGTAACAGCTTTTTCCACTTCTGTACGCTTTCTTTCCTACAACGTTTTATAGTCATTCTTCAGGAAGACACTGACCATCAAGCAAACGAGGACGGATTCAAGGTGATCTACAAAGTGTCAGCAAACTCATCAAAAGCTGTTCGACAATGGCAGGTTGTTACAGACAGGACGGGGGCTTTTGCCTACTCGATCCATCCCTTTGTTCTAAAAAGCGATTCATTCAGTCGATTCGCTTACCCAGCCGTCCGAAACTATCGTGACCATTGGCATGGTCCAGAGAAGCAGACCAGAAGTGAAACAGCTCACTCAATCCATCGACTGTGAACATTTCCAAACCACCTAAAATCAAAAACCCTTTCATTTTCCAAATCACATCACAAAATCATAATCAATCAACCATATTCACCACATCAGACCATTACACTAGTAGTTTACCAATTTTGAACCACATACATAACTGTACTAGCCCGAGGAGGAAGCTATCAAGAACAAATTTTTGTTTTCATTTCAGTGTTTTCTTTATTCCTCAGGTTTTTGATGAGCTGGCGTTTTAGGGATTTGCACGCTGGTTGACGTTTCTTGTTAAATACTGAGTGATATTCCATGGGTGACGTAAATAGAAGGCAACATGTTTTACTTGGTCTTGAGAAAGAGTGGAAATAATGTGGAATGATCGTGGCTCGGGATGCGGATGTTGTTGTTGGTGTGTTCTTCGATCTGGCGATGTTGTTTGCAGGCTGGCTCTTCCCCGAAGTTGCACTAAAGATGTTGCCCAGCCTGGCTACGAAACGTCGGCGGAAAACACTTCCAGTTCAGAGAACACATCAACAACAACAAATGCGAAAGGGATTTTTCCAAATGGATGCCTGAAGCTTTAAGACACCACATGCTCTGTAGTAGCTCAAACTGATAAAAGGGAGTCTTTGATCCATAAGTCTGCAAGTCTGATCTACAAGGCTGTGGGGCGTAAATCCAACGCGGGACCCGTGTGGGAGCTTATATAGGTCTGTCACACAAGTCCTTTGGGTTTCAGTTGAGTGTATTGTTCTTTGGTGCGTTGATTATCGGTCCACTGTTCGGGATCGGCCCTTAGCATAAAGCATCCAATGAGACAAGCGGGACGTGGACGGGACAGCACTTTATTGATTGGTGGCTGACCAGCTTAGGCGGACTTTAGCTGTCTAGTGAAGTGCGAAGACTTCTCCCACAGTCAGGAGGAAGCTCCAGGTACCCCGTTTATACGTCCATCTAGCGGGTTTTTTGACAGGTAGACTGAACCTACTCGTTTTCTTTTACGCATTAACCTCTCCAGAAGCGGGAGTGGATAGTCAAAGGAAGTCAGGAGGTGCCAAAGCAGTTGGCCTTATGAGACTGAGCTTCGACTGGCCTCTACCCATCAGACTTTGGAGCATGATTGTATCTGCGGCTGTGAGTAGCCATCCTGTTTAGCTCGCAGAGTCATGGAGGTACGCAAGTCATCACACCACGTAAAGGTGTTCTTCGCCTCCTCTCGAACCTACAGTGAGTTAAACAGATTGCATTGAAACAGCAAGGGAGTGTACAATTAATTCAAAAAATCTATCCTTATCTTCTCAAGCACGTCGTACAGTCGAAATATAACATCAAAGTCCGAGTCAAAGTTTTATTGTGAGAATTACCTACAAGCTTATACTTCTCTTGTCCTCATGAGATATTTGCACAGTTTAATCGTTTTTTGGTGAAAAAAATGGTAGTGTCACATAAAATTCCGGGTAGGAGATAACACACAATGAAGTTTTCAATCAACTTGCGTTTATTTTTTAATTTGTGTAGGAATATGAGGTGTGCCAGGATTTCATTGAGTTTCTGCTTGAAAGATTCAATAATTGGTGCATAAATGACGTGAGATGGAAGGTTTTCCAAGTACTGCACACTTTGATTAAAAAAGACTGACGGCAGCATTCCAGTCGACACTTTGGAATCTGTAACCTGAAACGATGTTCCCTTAGATGTATATTGTTCGACAAATTGAGCAGCGGCCAGTATGGATGGTTTGGGTTCGGCAGTATTTGAGCTCTTGGCGTAAACGCGACTCACGTATACACACATTAAAGCACAGCAAGTGCTACCAATTCATCCTGCCCGCACAGTACACGTCTCCATTGCTTGAAAGCAGTTATCTCTGTGTGTTGCAGTAACCGAGAGATTTGGGTGAAGAAAACACTGAAGTCAAATTTGCAAACCCGATAACCTCTTGGATGGAGTGATGAAAGTGAGTTAAACTTTTCAGGCTCACGTCTAGTAGAACTCGTTTGTTAAAATCACAGCGCTGGATGTCCAGAAGAATTGCGGAAGCCATCCGTACCGAAGTGTTGGGTGATGACGTGAGTATTTTGTTAGAATTCCGCTTAAGTTCGTCCATTAAACGAACGTACAATCCAGTCGAACCGGTCATCATCTACACTTGCAACAGAATATTCGCTCTTCTAGTCGAACAACCGATTTGGCAGTATGTCAAATCCTATAAATTATGAATTTGTTTGAGGGTGCTCGGCCACTTAACTGTGTCGGACCAGGTGGCAGTTTAGACGAACGGTAGCCGAACATTCACATGCGGGTCGACAAACTAGTGAAGGAATTACACTTGGACGGTCAAAGGTCATGGGTTACCTCTACACTGCATGCGAACGTTATCGATCACTCGTCACATTTTATAAACCGGATATCAATTGGACGTAACCACGACATTCAAAAGCGTTCTCTTCAGATGCGACTGTCATCAGGCCGAGGAAACCTGATCTGCACAAGCAGAAGGAGCGATCTGTAACTGCTCCTCTTCTTTAGTGGAAAGACGGACCACTGTAACGTCAAAATCTCATTGAAAGTAACTGGAATTTATCATTTTCACTACATTTTGGACCAAACTATGCGTCTCAGGAGGTTTTGGGAAGGCTTTTTTGAAAATAACTTGCACTAGACTGTGCTACTGTGTTATCTATTCCATTTCTAATCAGGAGAAGGTTTTCCCAAATATTTTTCAACATAAGCAGATTAATACTGACATTTAGGATTAACACTGAAGCTCAATGTGTGAACCGCACGGAAGGGACTGATTTGTCAGTGGCCTGGTGTGACGCTCTCTCCATTGCCCCAACAAACCACTTGACCTCTCGTGTATTTTTACACACAGATTCACATACCAACACAGATCACGTAATAGATACAGATCCCACACAGCCCTAATGATAATCCGAATCCAACATACATACACACACACACACGCACACGCCCACACATACACGGAAACTTACGCACTTGACCCCGTTTTTGGGTCAACCTTGAACGCCGCGATTTTCACCTTAAAGCTTGTGTTTTTGAGAAACCGATAAAACTGCCTTGAAAAAGGCCGTCCAAGAAGATCGAAACGTTGTCACCGAAATCTTGTGTTTTGGTATTCACGTTGCGGCTAAAACAAAACCTGATTCTATCGTGTACATCATTATATTTCATCTATTGCTTGGATTCTTAAGGCTCCGTTGATCAATGATATCGGACATCTGAATATTACCCGAACAGACACAATCCTACAAATGCCTCTAAACAGTATATGAAATCAATATGGCGGCGTACGGTGCCTACCGAACCGATTCTGAAATGAAGTGTCGTTCCTTTTCAATATGGATAACGTACCCCGCCACACACACACCCGCCCCCAAATTATATAATTAATAAAATCCGGTGCTTGTTGTAGCATACCTGTTGTTCCGGATGTGTATATCAAATAGGACGGATGTGTGGATTCCACGGGGATAGCATCATGTGGTCTGCCCAAAGACATGGCTTGTCCCCAGTCGACAAAGAATTTTGAGTCCTCTATACCCACCCGGGGTAACATCGGTCGGTGAAAGAAGATACACCGTTCGACCACATCTTCACATGTGGACTTTTTCAGAGCCTCATCCACGGCTGCTTTGTAAGCCACGCGTCGTTTAGGTTCCACACCGTACGAGGCGGTAACAATCACCCGGGGCTAACATATGGCATCACAAATCCACCGGGAAGGGCGAGAGAAGGGAAACGAACAGGAAGTTGCTACCACATAGTGTATGCGCAGTGCGATCCAGTGAAGTCATTTCTACATCATCCTTCAATACACCATATGAAAACACATTCATGCGATCACTTTTTTCCTCATAGAGATGCATCTATGGAAGCTATGGTTCATTGCAGAATTCGAATAAAATCTTGAGAGTAATGTGTCGGCATCAAATACAAAATGACTCCTAACTTAATAACCAATCATCTCTAATTCAGTTCAAACATTAGAGGATCAAAAAGTTACTCATTGTGTAATTCTAATTTGCAACAATC